GCTGCAGGCGCTGCGGGGCTGCAGGCGCTGCGTTGGTGCAGGCGCTGCAGGGCTGCAGCCGCTGTGGGGGTGCAGGCACTGCGGTGCTGCAGCCGCTGCGGGGCTGCAGGCGCTGCCGGCCGCGGCTGTGACTCGCTGGGGCCTCCCTCGCGCTCAGCAGAGCGAGGAGGTGCTGCTCAGCGCGGGGCTGCCGCAGCGGCGTCGGGCTCGGGCGCCGCGGCTTTGCCGCTGCTCTGCCGCAAGCTGCTCCCCAGAGGCACTCGCGCCAGGCACCTTAGTGATTCACAGAGCGCCAGGGCCCCCGATCTAGGCTTGATGGTGGTGGAGGAGAGCACATCCAGGAGCGAGGCGGGAGCCGGGCACTTGTGGAGGCGGCCCAGGAGAGCTCCCGTCTCCACTGCGGGCCATAAATCACTGCGAGGAGCAAGCTGAGTTAGAGCCAAGCGTGCGCCTCCGTTTGCTTGCAAGGCGTGCACGCCGCAGGCCCGCAAGGCACTTGGAGAGCTAATTGAGAACTAGGCCCCGTTTTCCAGATTAGCTCGTGACCTGGGAAAGCGTGAGGTGTTCAGCGTGAGAATAAATCTAAGCTTGCTCTTCATTCAGAAATCGTGTGTTTTGCTCTCTACCGTGTAGTGCTGGAATAGGGAAAAGAGCAGCCTGGAGAGAGCTGTGTTGCTGCTCTTTGGTGGGGTTTTTCCCTATCAATTTCTTCTTACACTTCTGGCATTAACTATTACCAGTAATTCAGAAGCTATATTAAAGCATAAGAAGACAAATTGCAGCAGTTAATACAAAGAGGGAGGAAAAAAAAAACCCTAACAAGCAATAAAAACCATAATGAACCTTTCACTTGACAATCCATCAGATGTTTGGAGGAGAGATATGTAAAAAAGGTATTTTGGAGGTTGTGAGGATGACAGTGGGATGACCAGTGCAGTTGTTTTGAATTAAGTGTAGTATGTACTTTAATACATCACCCCTTAATGATTACCAGCATTTGCTAGGACTGGCTGCTTGCTGGGCGCTCTGCACACAAACGGAGCCAAACCAGAATCGTTTTATGCCTTCTATATCAGGTGATTTTACACTGTAGCTTAAAGCATATAACAAAGAGTAAGAATGATTATGATAAAATATGTATGCAATACCCAGAGCACAAGTAGGCTTTCTGATTGTTTCATTAGCTCACCTTAAACCTTTCCTTCTTGACTTCCTTCCCAGCCCAAATTAGATGTAAGTATGCCCATGTTATTTATGTTTTCCACTTCAGTGAGGTTAAAAGTTGAAATTTTTACAAAATTGGTATAAGTAAGTTTTTATTATGCTTTCATACACCTTCCTGTTTTTCCATTTCCCCTTAAATATTTGGTCAAAGTCCTATTTTGGGATAAAATCTAACACAACATTTGAGATAGCTGCTTTTTGTTGGAGGGACCTTTGGAGGGGGCACATATGAATAACCTCAGCCTTACTCAAAAAAAAAAATCACCATAACACTCCAAAATCATTGCACATATTGGCACTGGTTTTACTTTATTCTCCCTGGGGTAAATGCAGAAGGGCTAAATGATGCTGTAAAGCGGGCTGATAATGTTTCTGAAATACCGAAGGTAGGTAGGAAACCAGAAAACCAGTCTTAAGTCTGCAGTGTTTCACAGATTTTTTGATAAAAACCTGTGTTTTATATGCTATATATTCCATAGAATATACATAAGAATACATAACTGAAGAATGCGTTACTGTATTCTTCGTTTTATACCACATAAATACTTTAAAATGAGAATGGTTTTTTTTTCTGAGAATGTAATCACAATGCACAGCATGAGATCTTTAAATTCCCAAATACACTATTTAACAGATGAATACCTCCTTTGAAAAACTATTTAATAGCTCATTTGGTGCCATGTGGTGCCAGTTGTTTACTGACATCCAGACAGATTGAATTTACCACGTCTTTTGTCTACAAAAAACAGTTAGCAGAGAGCAATCTCAGATGAATTTGGCTTCAGCTCTTTCATTAGTCAGTATGTCATTCTCTTCCCATAGCTGCTTCTCTGCTTATTGCTATTTTTATATTCTACTCCCATTTTAGTAGTTTTGCTTCAAAGATTTGCTTTAAGGATTTTGCTGTATTGAAGCTAGACTAATAGGTAGATATCCAAATCATATTTTTTTCTTTCTTCAGAGAACTGCTTAGGGTTTTTCAAATCCTGTCATTGCTGTAGCCCACTTCTAATATACCACTCCATCAGCTATTTTATTAAAAAGCTGAACTGGGAGCCCTGCAGTGTCACATGCAAGTTTTCCAATATTTCCTTTTGCTTTTTTGCCATTTATTAAAAATGGCTTCTACTTCATGTTATTAGTCAGCGCTCAGAGATATTTCAAGATGAGTCTTTCAAAGAAGAGGCTGTTTTCGGTTCTTTTTTTCCTTAATCTCTTTATATCGTACTGGATTCTCTCTATTCAGTCAGTGTTAAAGTTGACAATTTCAGGTAGAACTTTTTTTTTTGCCCTGTAAATGCTATAGTTACTATATTTTGTTATATTCTGAGAGTCTTTTATTTCATTAAGATTATTGAAAATAGCTCTGAATCAAAAAAGTTAATAATACTAAAGAGAAGAACACAGTTGGGAACCTTAAATTTCCAGTTATCATGCTCTGATATTCTGTATTCTTAGGTATACATTGTATTATTCAATTATATAAAAATAACACAGCAAATGCTGCAATGAAAGTTACTGTTAAAACTCCAAAATATCAATCATCAGTACCTAAAAGAACCCTTGATCTCCACCATACACATTTCTGATGGAAGACAGTGTTTGAGAAAGATCCTCACCCCACTACACCCTCAAAAAAAAAAAAAAAAAAAAAAAAGAAAAAAAAAAAAGATAATTAACTGAAATGCAAACAAAATCCTAGTGTTGCTGTATCATAAGGTGCCTGCTTACTTGAAGAAGATCCAAAAGGCACTGAGTTTATAATGAATAATTTACTCTGTTTTTAGTGTTTCTGTTTCTAGAAGTATGAAAACATGTTGCTGTAGCCTTGATGGTACTTTTGTACGGATGCTTTTCTCACATTATTACTGTTTCTTCCTGTCTTATTTATTGCTAGCAATTTGCCGTAAGAATTCTATATCCAATATTCATCAGTTCTTTAAATAGCTTCTGATATCAAGGAAGACTTGGAGACACCAGTTAAACTTCAATTTTGTCAATGTTTATTGGCAAAAAAATAATATGATGGAATTGTGAGGGTTTTTTTGAGAGAAAAAAAAAAAAAAGGTTTTCCTTTAATGGCTCACAGGCTTTCAAATCATATTCCTACAGGACTCAGAATTCCATAGAATGTATTGTATGAGTGCAGGCTTTTAGTTCATTTCTCTCTTCTTCCACTATTTATACAAAGGTATTGCTTTTTTTAAAATGTAAAACTTTAGGTCTGAAGATTGCAGGGGTGTCCCTGTTCAGTTCATGTTAACTACCTTCATGCAGATTTGCCAAATGGCCTGTAAGACACTTCTTTATGTTTAAGTCCCATCCTGCCTTACCTGAACATTTTCTAGCATGACTAGTCACAAATAAAAATTTATAGTCTAGGAGTATTTGTGGAATGTTTGATGTTTGTAGAAATAGAACAGATGAACCTAGATCCAGATACAGATTTGTTTCCTATTTTGGCAAAGCTGCAGAGTCCCTTTTGCAATAATCCTTATTTCTCTACATTTTATGCTTTTTTTTCTTTCCCAGGCTGGAGTTTCAGCATGGGCTCTGCCTACCAGTTCCACAGCTGGCGAGTATTTGTGATCGTCTGTGCGCTGCCCTGTGTCTCTTCAGTGGTAGCCCTCACCTTCATGCCAGAAAGTCCTCGGTTCTTGCTGGAGGTATAACTTTCAAAATCAGTTTTAGATTCCAGTCAAACTAATTTATGTGTTCAGATCATGATATCATGGTAATGGGCATTAGGTTTGTTCAGTGACTATAGCAGATGTGCAAATCTGACTATATATTTTGTTCAAATGCTTTGTTCAAATACTTAGGTTGGAAAACATGATGAAGCCTGGATGATACTCAAGCAAATTCATGACACAAACATGCGTGCTCGTGGACAGCCTGAAAAAGTTTTCACAGTGAGTATTGCTCTCAAAGCTTTTAGAGGATCACCTGGCTTGCTGATGCGCAGTGCCTTTAGTACTCAAGCAATCAGTGTGATCACCCTATGTACTGAAAAGTCAATTGTAGCCTAAATGTCTAAATATAAGAACTGAATTCCTACTGACATTGTTATGTATTCAACAGATGTTAAGATACCAGCCTCTAGAAATTCTGACCGGCATATTCTGGACTATATGAACCTGTGGTGTGATAACATTTTCCTTGTACTGAGATAATCAGTTAATATTAACAATAAGTACATAGTAAAAGTCCAAACTAGCTGTCTCTTGTTCTTTTAAATCTTTTTGATTTAGCTCATTTTCATAAGCTAATGCAATTAATCTAAAAACTTTATTTCCATTTTGGTTCAGTATTAATTTTTCAAACATTTTTTTTTTTTCAAAATATCTTGAAAGTTTGACTGCCATTGTTTTGTTGACTTCAAGCTCTAAGGAAAAAACTGTATTTGAAATATTGATGAGTTGTTTCTATTTGGAGGAAAAATTGGCAGTTGAGATTTGGGGCTTTTTTCTTTTTTGATACAGTCTAATCTATCTGTGAAGAATGTATTATATTCTTTATAAAGAATATACACAAATTTGTTTCCCTGAACACAATATGACCAAACAGCAGCAGATATTTTCCTGATCAGAAATGCAGTCTGTCTCTGCAGCCCTTTTCTGTGGGCTGAGAATGCTGATGCTCTACTCCCTCTCAGGCCTATGAGTTGGATATTTTTCTTCTTCTGAAGACTTGCTTCTTGCTCTAATGCATATATAACTCAATTAAGAAATCCTCTTAAAGGTTCTGCATTTGCAGGCAGTTTCAAGGAATGACCATCTGTCCATGTAACTTTAGTGAGATTTGCAATTTATTGCCTTATATATAGTCTCCATTGCCTGCATTTAAATTATTCGAAAAAGAGGATTAAAACTGACAGCTTTGGCTTGAAAGAAGTAGCATATCTGTCACATTTGACCTCCATTATTTATACACCAGTAGCATACCCTTAATACCATTCAACTTAATGTTATTTTATTTCTTTTTTATGAGGAAACGGATTGGGCTAGTAGTATAGTGATAGGGTGAAATTCCCCAATTGCCTTGTGCCAGTCTGATTCAGAGGAGCATTGCTGCTCCCAGTTGGTTTTATTTTTCTTCTGCCAGAGTTGATGCTCATTGATTTGCTGTCAGCCAGAGCACTGAGCCTGTCCACCTACAGGGTTAGTTTAGGCACAAGGAAGAAGACAGGAACGTGCTGGGAAAAGGAAGGAGAGTGGACCACAAAAGGTGGAGGGAGCTATTCAAGACAGTCTCGCATCAGTTTATCATGATCACGTCCTAAAATAAGTACAGGGATGAAGACAGAGCTTGTGCTTAGAGTCTCCAGTTCCTGGTGTCTCCTTAAACAATTGGTGTCTACAGCAGCAGCAGACTGAAAGCTCAAGGTAGACGTATAATCAAGACTGCAAACCCCTGGTGTCCTGGACTCTCCTGGATACATCTCTGGGCAGTGGAGTCTTCATTATGTCAGGGGAAACAGGAGACATTGCAGCCGTTCGAAAGTACTGCCGAAATTGAACATCTCATTTGTTGCTCTGTCCCTCATTCTCAGTCAGTCCCCTTCCCCATTTTTGGGGACTTTGCACTGTGGGCAGCATTGCGTTCTCTCCCATTGATAGTTCTGTATTTTTCCTAGATAAATGTTTATCTCATTTCCTGTTGGGTTCTTCAGAACAGCAATAATACACAAGGCTGCAGACTATTTCAGCTAACTTTTTCTCTCCTCTTTGAAAAGGATAGTTAAAATCAGTACAAACTAGACAAGGAGACTTTCCAGCCAAGCGCTGCAAGAAATAACAAGAGAAGAAAAATGTTACTCAACTATTATTTTTTGACATATCAAATGCTTTTAGTTTTGTTAGAGTATTTTTTAAATGAATCGGTAGAGTTTCAAAGGTTATTCAGAGTCGTCATTGCAAATCTTGATGACAATGTTGAACGTGCTTGCCTGAGGATTTAACAGATGTTTTATCCTATGCTGCATTAGAGGTAGATAGCAACACCATAGCAAAACCTAGCAGTTACAGCATGTTTCATTCGGAGCAAATTGATCACCTGCATGATTTTTAAGTACAGCTTTTCCAATACAGTTGCATCTATAGGGGGTATTTTTTATACTCTAATATGCAACTATTCCTTTATATTTCTAAAGCATTCCTGCTGTAGATACAGGTTTAATATCTCTTCATTTTTAGTGTATGGGAGCTATTCTATTCCTCAACAGAATTCCTCGATGTGCACCTAATGCCTCCAGAAAATGCAAATTTTTGCTGTTCTGTTTTTATTTCTAGGTTAACAGAATCAAAACTCCAAAGCAGATAGATGAGCTCATAGAAATTGAGAGTGATACAGGAACGTGGTACAGGAGATGTTTTGTTAGAATCCGCACAGAGCTGTATGCTGTAAGTAACATACCTGATAGTTCTGTTTTTATCATGATTTTTATTTAATGTTTGGAGATGGGCTCGGCTGGCCAAACTCCTGCAGGTGGCAGTTGACATTCTGTGCTTTCCATGCGACTGGGGAATTTGGGAGCCAGCGTAAGATTCTTGTTTCATGACCCAGGAGTGGTATAGGTGAATTGTAGATAAGCTGTTTGCTGTTTCTGAGGAGGAAAATGCTGCATCAGCCCTTACGTTTAGCCATCAACCATCACTTGATGGTTATTAGTTATACAGGCATATGCCCAAGCACCACAACATAATGTGTTGGGAATGCATATTAATATATGCTGACGGAAAGTGGTGATACGTGATGAGGTGAAGAATTATCAGCAGGAAGTTGAGGTGGCCACATTACTTAGAAATGGTAAAGCCATGAATAAATTATGTATATGAATGTCTATAAAACTTTTATAAGGCATTGCATCTGCATGTATTTTTAGTAAAGGTCAAACATTTTACCAGAAAACTACTTGAAACTATTTCATTAATACAAGCTCACTGGAGCTGTGTTCCATATCACTTTTTATTATTATTTTTCTTAAAGACCAAGTTGAACAGTAACTTTGAACCTTGTATTGAAAATGGAGAAAAGTCTTATTAATAAAAAAAAATCCAAAATAGCTTTTCACAGCTTTGAAAAATCTGACATCCTAAAACTTTGCAGAGGTGCTGTAAACTAGGGTTTGTCACATATTGCCAATGAAAATTGCTTCATTTCAAAAATGGACTTTACTATAAAAAATTGGGCAAATATCTACATTTGAAGTTATTTGCCCCAAAGTATATGGAAAGGGAAATATTATAATTCGCCTTTTTTTTTTTTTTTTTTTTAATAAAAATACCTCTTGAGAACTTGCAGTTTTATTGTCTCACATCTTTGTTATTTCACTGGACCCATACCTGCTTCAGAGTGTCTTCCCCGGTACATGGTGTATGCTAAAAATTGTTACGACAGATTCTGTCTAGAGACAGAAGAGACAGATGCCTCTTCTCTCCAAAAGCAGGAAATTACCTTGAGAGAGAGAGAGGAAACACAATTCTCAGTCAGCTCTGCTCTAGAGCTTCTGGCCTGGGCATAGTCTCAGCATTTCCTCACTTAGGTAAAGTACCAATTTCTAGCTGTGATAGTTTATGGCAAATCAAACTCTGATCTGTGCATTTTCCTGAATTATGGAGTATAGATCCTCTACATTTAAAGCAGTGTAGTACTCAATGGTAGGAAGGAGATGTTTCTGAGACGATCTTTGTCAAGTCTATTTGTGACAGTGAATAGAAGATGCCTAGAGATTAGGAAAGTTTGAAGTAGTCTGTGGAGGTGAATTAATAGACAAAGTGAAAAGAGGTCAGAAGGACACAGAACATACACAGTCTGGATGTAGCCAGAGATTAATTTACTTATATCATAAGTTCAGTATGACTTCAATATCAAAAAGCTAATCTATTCTCTCTGATACTGTGCAGAAGAAAAATAGAATACAAAAGCTTCTGTCATTTAACAAAATTGTTCAGAAAGATTTTGAAATAAATGGATTTTCTAATGATTTGCAGATTTGGTTGACATTTATGAGATGTTTCAACTACCCAGTAAAGGATAATACCATCAAACTTACAGCTGTGTGGTTCACCTTGTCTTTCGGGTAAGAATGCTTCAGATCCTAAACCATTTTTATTACACATGACAGACATAGGAATCATATTCATGCAAATCTTTGTCACTGTCTTTTTTCTTTGGAAATATTTTATCAAGTAACTTTCCACAAGATGTTACATTTATTGGTTGGTCTGTTATTGATGAGTCTGTTTTTAGTTGCAAGATTGATTCATTAAGAATATATGGTTCAATGCAACTGGCATCTAGGTCAGGATCTTCAAATATTCTTATGTAGGCAATCAGCCAATACAGAAGAACTGTATCTGCACCAACAGTTAAAGCAGGTAGAGCACCAAGCTCTCACTCTCAGCTTACTTTTAGCACTCCAACAGAGCTCCTTTTTGAGTCCAAAGGCAAGGAAGGCTTCAGTAATCCTACTATGAATTCCTATGGCAGATACTAGAAAAGATATTTTTCTTTCTATCTCTTGCTGTCTCTAGTGTTTGCAAAGCTCTGCTCTTTGTGTGGGGAAGCCACAGGGCCAGTAGCAGTGAGACCTTCCTGGGCTGGCCAAGGGCTTGTCTTGCCTCCCTGGAAGGGAGCAGGACACCTGAGGGCAGCACTGAGCTCCTCTGTGGAGACAGGTCTGGCTGATGATGGGTGGTCAGCCTTGGGTTGGGAGCACTGGGCCCTGTGACTGGGCAGAGCTGGAGACCAGCCCTGATGAAGTGTCACTGAGGAGATCTCAGACTCGACTGAAATAGGGTCCTGGGCCTGGGCAGGGTGGAGGGAGGTCCAGGAGCCTGGGCCAGGGGTGGTGAGGGTGCTTAGTACCCTCAGGGCCCTGACACCTTGGTTGATTGTAAAAGTGAAGTCTAATTTTACTCTTTACGTGTAACATTTGAAAATCATGACTGCAGATTCACCATAGATTAAGTAAATGGTTCAGAAAAATGCTTATTCTCATCTTGCACAGCTTTCTGAATTTGTGAGACTTGTGACTGATTATTTGCTGTTTTTCACAGATACTATGGCTTGTCTGTGTGGTTTCCTGATGTCATCAAGCATCTGCAGTCAGATGCGTATGCATCCCAAGTGAAGCATTTCGTGAATGAGGAGGTCTCGCATTTTGTCTTCAACTTCACATTGGAAAATCAGATCCACACAAATGGAGAATTCATCAATGACAGGTCTAGAGATTTTCTAATATTCTCACTTGGCTAGAACAAATAAATACGTATTTTAAAGCATGTCCTAGTAATCTAATGATTTTCTGTATAAACTATTAATAGAAGATATTGTTACTTTTTAGGGGAATTTATTTCTTTCCTTGGTTTCTTATGAGTTGATCTTGAATAACATTATGACCTATAATAAAATGCATGTGTGTGTTGCCTGGTGGCTCACACGATCACAGAAAAGGTGGGTTTGGCAGAGATCTGAGCAGGTTGCCCAGTACTGTGTCCAGTGGGGTATGAATATCTGCAAGGTTGAATACTGCACAACCTCTCCAGACAGCATATTTCACAATTCAGTCACTCTCACAGTAAAGAAATGTTTTCTTACGTCCAGATGGAATTTCCCAAGTTTTAGTTCGTGTCCATTGCCTCTTGTCCTGTCACTTGTCACCGCTGAAAAGAGTCTGGAGTCATCCTTTTCATCAAATATTTATAAACATTCTTAAGATCTCCCTGAGTCTTTTCCTCTCCAGGCTAAACTGCTCCTTTTCTCTCAGCCTGTCCTCATATTAGAGATTCTCTAGCCCCTTAAATAATCTTGGCATTGTTGCTGTAAATCCATGTCTTTCTCATGCAGAGCTCATTACTGGATACAGTGCTCCAGATAGGCCTCAACAGGGCTGAGCAGAAGGGAAGAATCACTTCCTGGGGCCTGCTGGGCTTCCTCACGTAGCAGCAAACATGCTGTTTGTCTTCTCTACCACAGGGATGCATTGTTGTCCCATGCTCAGCTTGGTGTCCCTGAGGAGCCCCAGATGTTTTTTGGCAAAGCAGCTCAGCTGGGCAGTGCCCAGTCTGTTCTCCTGGATGGAGTTATTACTCCCTAGGTGCAGGACCTTGCACTTGCCTATGCTCAACTTCTTGAAGTTCCTCTCTGCCTGTTTCTCCAGCCTCTCTAGTGAATCAGCCAGTCCTGTTTCTTATTGCCTGTCCTTCCTAAAGAACCTGTATCCATCCACTGCAGCTATGGCTGTGCATCGTGCGAGCTAGCACACCCTGATCCTGGGCAGATCGTCATGCCATAAGTGCTCACAGATTTCTAATGCCACCAGCTGCTTTGCTCTGCTGCATGCATGAGTGTACAGGCCCTTCAGAGAGGCACCCTGGAAGGGACACAAGAGTCTTCCTCATAATGTGGCCACTTAGACTCCTCCTTGTTTACATACATGTGCTTGGAGGGGTTCTTCTTTAGCCCCACCGTGTTGATTAAGAATCCCCTTCTGGTTACATCACCCAGACCCCTTGGTGGCCAGCCCTGTTCACTGCTTCCTTAGGGGATCATCGGTCATTCTCTTCCTCCCTATCATTCCCAGTTGAATGCTCAGTTTACCAGGTTGCCCAGGCCGTTGATAAAGCTGCTTCTGCCTCATATTATTATGAGAGAATCCCTTATGCAAAACCAGGTTCTTCACATTCCTGAAGAGAGCCTGAAAAGCCCCAGTTAATGCTACTTCCTTTCACAGTGGGATTCAAAGGGTTTCAGACCCAGCGTATGCAGCGTGTTGCTGGGAGAGGAGGGAGGATGAAGTTTGATCTCTGCTGCTGTTTTTTCTTGTAGCAGCTAGATACTGCTGTGTGAAAATGTTCATCATTAGAGGTTCAGATCATATCACAGGAAAATAAAAGATAAATATGACTGTAAATCAATAAAAAGCATGAACAGCTCTTAAAAGGATAACAATACATTGGCAGTGCGTTTTGTCTATTTTAACTGAATCCATAAGTCTTAAGACTCTGGCCAGAATTTTACAGATAACCAGATAACTTTGGGAAAAATTAAACACAGCTGTTTTAGGTGTCTGGTTTCCCTTAAAAAATTTCTAGAAGAACTGTGTGAAGGGTCTCCTGGATGTCATGCTACTAAATAATTATTATTTTCATAAGAAAATGTATATAGAAATGAGAAGTATTGATGGTTTTGGTAATTTTTTTTTAATATGAACTTCAGTTCTGAGGTTAAAGTCTTGAGTTAACGGATTATGCTTTGCAGATAAAAATGAGCAAATATCTCATTTTTAAACTACCTATGCCTGCCAAATTCAATTTCTTTCCAGGAGACATATGTTGTCCTAAAAACAAAGCAAACTCGACTGTCATGCAGTAAGTTTCAGTTGTTTTCCATTCTGTCAATCAAGAACTTATCACTTTGAATTTCAAATTTTTGTAATACAGTAAAGCTAACACTGATCCACTCTGAAACTATAATTTACTCTGTCAAATATGCAAATTTAATAGGACTTTGATAAGCCTGTTCAGTTATTACAGATTTTCACAAGGTATTTGTCATGTTACTATGCACTTCTTTGGACAGTCTTTCCCTGCAAGTGTTGCAGTATTCTCCCTACCCCTGTTTTTTCAGTATTTCCTTCAAGTTCTTTCTTAACTGGTAGATACTTAACTTTTTGCTTTGTTACTTTTCTCATGGATTTGAATTCAAATCACCTCAATAATCCATACCAATTTTAATACAGTCACGAAGTATTTCCTGACAGAGCTAAAAAGTGCATCAGCAGCACACAGGACATTGTCTTTTCTGTTCCAGCTCACTAATCTAACTGCTAAATCCTCTCTATTCTCTTGTGAAATCAGGCTGCCTATTTAAATGGAAAGGGCTTTATGAAAAATGATAATGAGTTGGCACTGAACTCTGGCCTGATTTTAATCACACTGTCAAAAATGAGAAATATATAATAACTAAAACTAATGAGCTGAAAACACCATTTTTCTCACCAATACGAGAAATCAATAGCTAAAGTTATTTTCCTGTGATAATTGCAATTCTGTTTTGTTCTTCTTCTTTATTAAAATTTGTTTTTAACAAATTTATTGGTGAGAAAGTTTAATTTCTATTACTTGGTATGTAGCATATTTTGTACATTAGCATTTCTAGTAACAGGAAAAGTACATAGCTAGTCACACCAGGGTTAATTAGAGAAGAGCCAGCTCTGTGCCTGGGATGCTTTGCCTTGCTGACTGTATTTACTATTTCATAACAATTAAAGCACTGTCACCTTTAATGCAGCTTGCCAGCAAAACTGCCTTTCTGTAGGTGCAACTTTTCTTACATTCAGGCAAAATAAAATATATTCCAAAAAGTTCTGATTTATTGCTACATCTTTGGGATTTTAACATGATGATGTTGGTTTGTTTATGAGAAGCAGCTTATTGTATTGGTTCAGCCTAGTAGTGAAGAACTGGAAACTTGTTTCTGATACATGGTTTCTTCTTGAATTTTTATATGAATGAATAAAGTAAAAGATATCCTCTGGAAGGAAGATGTTAAGAAATAAATGCTTATAAAAATTCATTTGTGCATAGTTTACGTATACAGCCATTGTAAATGTATGCACAGATACAGGAATAGCAAACATGGTATTCGGGGTAGATATCTAACTGCAAACTGGATGTGTAATTGGTTCGATGATGTTAAACCATTAATATGAAACCATTTCCATATATTCCTTTTTTTCTAATGTCCAGGTACCAGTAGGTGCTTTTTTGTTCCTTGAGGTGAGATTTTTGGAACCCAAGCTCTCAGTTTTCAAGAGTAATGTCAGATTACAGGCMATAGTGATTTTACAAGGATATTCCATGACATTATTCTTGGTTGATGATAGCAGAAGTAGTAATTGAAATAAAAAGAGACTGTGTTATTAATAAAATAAATTGTATTACTGTTTATAACCAGCAGCTATGTGGAGATGCCTTTTTAATGATCTTTTTTCCCAAAGTCAGTATTTTAGAATGAGCTTTCAATGAATTTTGTCACTGCAACCTCTTTAATGAATCACTTTTTCTGAGGTGATTATTTTTGAGAAAGGCACCAGGTAAACCTGTTTAGATGAGTCATTCTGCTCTGTTTCTGACCTATGAAGGTAGACTGATAGAACTCCATTTGTGTTGGACAGGTTTATGATGATGAAGTTTAAATCAGTAACCTTTGAAGATTCCCTTTTTAAGAACTGTCTGTTTGAAGACATCACCTCGATGAACACGTACTTCAGGAACTGTACTTTTGTGAATACCACCTTCTACAACACAGGTATTAAGAGAAGAAAAAAAGAATGTCCTTTTTCATCTGCATGTTCTCATTTTACTGTTGTGGTTTGATTATAGTTCCTAGTTTTCTAAAAAGATGTTCAGGAAGCCTTCTTATAAAAAATATAAAGCTGTAAAAAGCAACAGGGGTCAATAGCGAAATATCCCAAAAGAGAAAACTTCTTATTCCTACTGGAGAGACTGCAAGCCTGATGGTATCGGATCAGATGATGAATGTCTCTCTGATTTTATTCATCCCTAAAGAATTTCAGTCTGGAGAGATGTTATGTTTACTGATTTATGGATTGGTCCAATTAACTGTATTTTCTGCATGGTCTAAATGGGCCTGGTGACAGTACATTATCCTGTCGGATTTACTGTGTGAAGAGGATCTAAGTTCAGGATTCAGTTTAAGTATTCTGCCAACAATATGAACATGTATTTTTACGTGTATAAACAGAGTAAAAACATCTTATTTCTCGATTCAATAAAATGTAAATGGAAATAGCATATGGCCAACGAAGTTTGCGTCTGGAAGAATGCAGCACTTACTGCTTTTCTGTCACTCCAGGACTCGTGTTAGTAGTAGGGCCAGGCTGCAGAACAAGCAGTGCCCGACTCTCACTGCCTGGAAGCCCTGAAGGGTTTCTTGACTCAGCGTTCTGAGGCTGGCAGGAGCAATAGAAAGCAAGGAGAAGCGGGGAAGAGATCTCTAAAATAGTGTTTGGAGAAGAATGGCCTGAACTGTTGCATGTAGTAACACATTCTTGTTCAATAGGGAATGCATGAAAATGTGCCCACATCAACACAGTTTTACAGTGGTGGCAATCTGCTTTCAGATGGCCAGCGGGGTCTGACAGTAACTTAGAAATGCTAACTAGACACTCGACTATAAAAACTGGAGCAGGAGAAATAGATGTGATTGTGTTTCATGTAGAACAGAACTTGCAAATATTCCATGTTTCTTAAGTAACACTGTCCTTTGCTGATAAGGCATAACCAAATAAAGTGCTAGCAGAGAGGAAGTGCATGAATATATTTCACTGAGTTCAAGTTCCTTACCTTTATGAGCTTTGCATATTTTTCTGTTAAGATAGAAAGCTGTCAGAATTAACAGCTGTAACTAGTTGTGTTTTATGAAGCAATATGATGACCTAGTTATCATTAAAGTTGTCTAAACTGGAGTGTTTTTAATCAAAAACCACACCGAGTCAAATGTTAGCTGCTTTTTTTTCTTTTCCTTGTTTCCACAGATCTGGAGCAGTATAAGTTTATTGACAGTGACTTTATAAATTGCACATTTTTCCACGTCAGGACAGGATGCCAGATCTCTTTTGATGATGACTATAGTGCCTACTGGATTTACTTTGTTAATTTCCTGGGAACGCTGGCAGTGCTGCCGGGAAACATAGTGTCTGCTCTCCTGATGGATAGAATTGGCCGCTTGACAATGCTAGGTATGCACCTCCCGGGAAAAGGGGAAACAAAACCACAGCCTAAAACTACCCTGATAAAGTAACATCTTCCCTTTTTAAAGGATTTCTTTCAGACAGGTGAGGAGAAAAAAATCCTTCTAAAGTTATTCCTGTAGGTGTCGTTCAAAGTGATGTTTTAGAAAACTCCCCATTAGAAGGTCCAGGGATGTGGAGATCTCTAGCCAGTTCTGCTGTGCCACAGACAATATTCTTCCACACTGGTATAAAAAACCAGTAATTCAGCTTTTGGGCTGAGATGTTGAGCGATGCTGACCACTGGCTTCTCGTTGCTGTAGCTGAAAGGAGAGCCACATGTGCCCGAGTTGTCACCGGAAAGCAGGGCAGCGCCTGGCAGTGACCTACTGAGCAGCCCTCAGTCTGTGAGCCGTTTTGGAAAGTAATACAGCAGATAGGTACTTCCTGCAGAGCATCTCCAATGACAAATCTGGCTTCACTTTACTTATGTAACTATGTAATAGTTCACTATGTTCCTGTTTAGGAGCGTACTTAAATATAAATGCAATTCCTACTCATGTTACAGAATATGAATGAGTTTCATTTAATTGCAGGAGATGATAAACAATGAAGAGTAGGGGTGGTTTTCCCTAGACTACTTGTTTGGGGAGCTCAGAGGGAATTGCAGTTTAATACTTTATGATATATCCTAGTATTTGAGGAGTTACATTCTCATTTTTTCCCTGAGCCTCTTATAGCTTTTGTCTGCCAGACTGGTCTGGCCAAGAAAGGATATCTCTTTAGTTTTAACTCAGAACATATGGATCTGTTATTCACACACTCTGTGCAAATAGAAATATTAGACAAACAAAGCTTATTATACAACTCCACATAGTAATTGTTTTGTCTGTCATTATTATAGGTGGTTCCATGGTTCTTTCTGGCATAAGCTGCTTTTTCCTGTGGTTTGGGACCAGCGAATCCATGATGATAGGAATGCTTTGCCTCTACAACGGTCTCACCATCTCAGCGTGGAACTCCCTTGATGTCATTACTGTGGAACTGTATCCTACAGACAGAAGGTGAGTTCAGATAACCTTGCGTTGTTAGCCTTGGTGGGGCCACCTGGAGGTACAGCAGAACTGGTAAATAGAAGTGGTTAAATACAAGCTTTACAGCAGCGGTGATGTTTTGAGCTGGCCAGACACATAGTGTGTTTTGGTGTTGAGCTATTTGGTATATGTTTTGCCTCAAGTATCACCTAGTCAAGAAAATATTACAAATGTAGTTTTATATTATATACAAAGGTCTAACTGCTGCTGTTGTTTAAAATACTGCTTATCAATTCATTCCTAGAATAACTCTGCGTTTCCCCTAGTACAGCTAGCAGCTATGGAGGCAACGTTTGGTCCAACATAGCAGTATGCTGCATTTGTTGATTATGAAATGGCATAGAGAGGATAATAAAAATCACTGACGAGCTGAGTAGCATTTTCTGCAAAAGACTATGGGCTTGAACCATGCTGAGCTGTTAATCAGTGTGCTAAGGATCTGTATGCAAGGTCCATAGCAGTTGGTAGGTTCTCATCGTCAGTCACATACAAGAATGTCTTGAGCGCTGCTCCCAGCCCCTCAAGGCTCAGGACAATCTTCATGTACTGCAAGCAGGGCTCCTGGAAGGAATTTTTTTTTTCTTTAGTTTTGAGGTATCGGATACTCTTCAATGTTTACCTGATGTCAGATTCCAGTAGCTCATGCTCACTGCCTTGCTGGCACTTCTGAGTTTTTGGGGCACAGATGCTTTGGCTTTGGTGATGTACATTAGGAAGAAGGAGACAGGGTTGAATATTCACCTCTGCTTTCTTTTTATTGGTTTTTCATTTTAATTTATGCCTCTTTACACAAGAAATTAATGTCTATTTTTATGGTTAAGTCCAAATACTGTGGACTACACAGCCATAGCCATACTGTGCTACTGAATCCAAAGCATTGAGTTTTGTAAAAAGCGCTTCTGTTTTTATTCCACATCAGGAAATTTCTCTTTTGGCAACAATTATTCTATCATTCAAGCTTCATTGTATAATTTTAATAAACGTCGTTTTTGAGTAGGTGTTTCGTCAGAATTCATGAAGGTAGTAGGCAAAAATACTTTTTTAAAACAGAGAAAAAACAATTGTGGTAAAACACATTTATTTTAAAGGAGGAAAAAATAATTATCAGTATTAGAAATGAAAATAGGAGTTACTGATACCTCTTCTAAGGCATCTGTATTTGGAGCTAAGAGTTTCTGTATTGCAGTTTTCACTAGCATTGAAATTGCAGCAAATTTTCCCCGTTTTCAGACTTTCAGACTTGCTGGCTGTATCCACAGTGAATGTGATCTTAAAAGCAGCTTCCAGTTTTCCCAAACTGGAACCATTTCCCATTTTTAAGGGAATTGGTTCTTTCCCTTAAAAGAGCCATTCTGCTCACCGTGTCCCTGCTTTGTCACTGTGCCACGTACTCCTTCCCACCAGTGAAATGAGCAGGCACCCACAGCAAAGGGCGGCTGGAGGCTGGCCGGGCAGGGAGGCGTGTGGAAGCGGGAGGCTGGGGAAGCGCTCGCTGGCACTGAGGCCCGGCACGGCCCGGCCGGCCCGGCAGCACCTCCTGCTCTTCCCACTGCCACCCCCTGGGAACTAGCCCCTTGCCAAAGTGCTGGGGCTTTGCCAGTGTCGTGCAGGGTGAGACAAAAGGTGTTTCATAAATCGTACTCCAGCCCATTTGTGAAAGACCCTGTTGGCTTTCTGCCAGGCAGGGCTGTGGGAGCAGCTGGGAAGCTTTCCATATATATGATCCACAGGACACGTTTCGTTTTTCTCTTCATCTCCCCACAGGGTGGAATTAAGGTTGTTTCAGAATCTTCACGGCTTTGGGTTCTGTAGGCTTTCAAACTTGTCTCTGCATTAATGCTTCATAGCTTCATGCCTGGGTCTGAGGTCGTCCTGTGTCGTTGATGAGCACTGGCACATTTTTATGCCAGTCCAGTATAGGTTTTGTCTGGATATTCTATATAAAACTTGACTAGTTATGAACACTGCTAAAGTAGGAGGCGTGTTAGAGAGTGCATAGATGCCGCATGCCACGTGTTTTTCAGGTAGATGAAGAAATTATGTTAAAAGATAAAAGGTACTTTATAAATCCTAGTCATAGGCAGACTTATGTCTCCAGATGACAGACACAGAGGTAATGATCATTTCATAATGTTAATTTATTTTTACTTTTCAATATGCAGTCTTTAAAGGATACCAGATAGACTGTGAATTAGCTAATTTCTGAAGAACAAGGAAATTAACCCAGCCTCACAGTATAAATCAACTGTTTTAACTTAGCTTTTTTTCCATCTTCCTAGGTGAAAAAAAGTGGAAAAACCGTAGTGGGCTCTGTTGTTCTGGAGTACTCCACAGTCAGCAGGTTTTGAACAGTCTCTGGTCAGTCATGACCCACTGGAGAGCCAAGCTAAACTATTCAGTAGCTATGGAAGCTCTGCTCTAAAGGAGAGCTGTTAAACCTCTTGTGAGCATTTTTGGATGCTCCTAGAGTAATTGCTTATTCGTTCATAAACCTAGTGTATTTAAGGCAGTATATTGCCTTAAATGAGGTGATGTGGAACTTGAGGCAAGAGGAGAGAGAGGCTATTGTTAAAACTGACGTGAGGTGCCTGATGTGGAGGAAACGGCCTGCAAGGCTGACTGCCACTGCAGCAATGAGGGGCCTGCATGTCAGCAACTCACATCTGAAAGTGCCAAGCAGAGCACCTGGAAAATGAAGTGCATTAGTGGCCACTTCAGTTGGTTCAATTGACTTGCCTAGCATTGTACAGGAACTGGGTGACAGGAGCAGGGATTATCCATTTCTCCTGGCGGCGTTCAGCTACCTTAACTGTGAGACTCTGCTCTATCATACCGCAGTCCCCATCCCCAGAGACAGTGCACCTTCCAACTTCAGCCACAGATGGGACCAAGCAAGTTTCCTTCGCTACATAACTGCTTTATCCCTCAAGCTCTCTTTGTTCTGTGCATTGGCGCAGCAGCGTGGAAAAAAATACTATGTGATGAGGTAATTATAGATTGTGCAGTAATGTTTGTGCCCAAGGGGCTTGAATAACATTGCACAATTGCCTAGCTCTGCCTATAATACAAATAGAAATGGAAGAGAATTAAAGCTCTCCAAAGAAATAGCATTTAGGAAGATTTTAATGACTTTGAAACACATTGCATTCACATAAACGATAAATGTCTTCTTGTGAACTAACTTGGGAAGCACCAAGATTTTAAGTCAAGACTTGTTAAGGGGGTGGGTACAGTAAAGAAGTCAAACCAAAACAGATACGGGAATACAATAAGTCACCTCCTTATATTTCTTGCAGAGTAAATCAAGGTCAGATTGCATTAAGTAACCAACAATTCATCACTTTTACTGAGGTTGCCAGACATCTGGTTTTGCATCTTGGCTGGGAATATTTAGAACTCAAGGTGTGCTATAAAATGAAGTCTGAAGAGAAATCCTGTTCTGCTTTTTTAATATATCTGAAAGAAGTTCATAAGAGTTTTCATCATAATTAAGAAATAAGTCACCCATCTTCAGGTTACTATATATTTATCTTTTGCTTCTCTTCTCGAGTGCTGAGAATCTCCCCCCAGACTCATAACCATTATTCACAGGATATCTTAAGTCCAACGTATTTTATTGCTGTGGCTGTCAGTGAGGGGTGTTCTGTTCTTTCCAGTTGTTAGAGCAGAGTCGTCAACTTGCAGTGCACTTCCTGACAACTATTTTCTACTGCCCTCCTGTGGATGCGGTTCAGCTGCACGTTGCTGAAACATATTGGTGTTTTGGGGACACAAAATGCTTCAGCTGTGCAGTTCCTTTCTTCTTTCCCAACAGACCAGGCACTGTGGATAATGACAGTTATACTTTGTTCACTGAACTGAAATAGTTTGCTCTTTAGCTCCTGGAGATGTTGATTTCTTAGCCAGTCCCTGAAGTCTGCCAACAACTCAAACAATACCAGGCAGATACTCTCTGTTTGCTGTACCTGGTTGACACTTACCACCAAAATACCTAGAGGCAATCCTGAAGACCTGGGATTGCTCTAGAGCCACTTTTCTCTCCTGCTGTGATAGCACAGTGAAGACTGTAACTGGCCAGTCTGTCATCTGAAATGTCTGGACTTCAGAAAATTGGCCATAACACACTCAGAAAATTCGTAATTTTCATAGCCTTTTGATATTATCAACTATGAAAATGCAGTTCAGGGGCTTTTGTAAAGTGTTGGATATGGATGGTTCAGCATTCGCTCTGTCAGGAAGGTCATCAAATATCTGTGCTGCACATTCTGGAGCCATCCAAAGGCTCTTGCAAGACAAGGACCTTGTTAGATGTTCTGACTGTAAGCAATGCAGAAGTGTGACCAAAGTATTTTATTTAGTTTGATAAGCACCTGGTCTAAGAAGTATGTGGCGACCAGGAAGCAAACTCTTTTAATCTAAAGACTTGAATAATCCCTCCATTTTTAACTGTTTTGGATTTTTGCCACTTGTTGTATGGGACTTACGTGAAAGGAAGCCAGCTGTTTTCCTCGGTCACAGCTTTCCCAGCCTCCGAAGTAAAAGACATTTAGGGAAATTCCTTTTATCCTAACATCCAGCTTTCTCACAGAGCTGACACTTTTATAGGACTGCTGCATTTTTATTTCAGCATTATTGAAATCTGTAACTTGTTTTTTTTTTAAAGTAAGTCCACAAGGCTGCACCAGCACTGTGTGACCGATATGCTTGAGGGACTTGCTCACACCTTCTAACTGGGCAAAGGATTCTTGCTCCCCAGCTCTCTTGGCCACTGAGGAGAGTTGCTCGTGGACTCAAACAGAGATTTTTGTGCCAATGCTTTGCCCACTAACTGATTAAAATGAAGGATACTGATATATTTAGTAATGAGTGGTATATTTAGTAATGTCTTTAGGCTTTTGGATTTCTTCAATTAGTTCTGTCAGGACACTGAGATGAAACATCACATATCTTTCATCTTTTGCAGACTTTCTGTATACTCTTAACACTTTCCTGAAACACTGTAGTGAAAATTGGATTCTTGGTGCAGGAGAGCATGGGTGTAAGCTGCAGCACAGAAGTTCCATCTCCATGTGAGGAGGAGCTTCTTTCCTGTGAGGGTGACAGAACCCTGGCACAGGCCGCCCAGGGAGGTGGAGTCTCCTTCTCTGGAGGTCTTCCAAACCCGCCTGGATGCCGCCCTGTGCCCTGTGCTCTGGGTGTCCCTGCTGGAGCAGGAAGGTTGGACTAGATGATCTCTAGAGGTCCCTTCCAACCTTAAACATTCTGTGATTCTGTGAGAAGACTTTTGTAATTCAGCATGTATGTTTTGTGGCTTTTTAACTCTTCTGAATTCAATAGAATGAACTATTAAGGGATGAACTAATACAGGTTTTAGCAGATTTGAGTCACCAGCACCTTTTTAAGAAAGAGGTTTGCTTTTTCATAGAATCACAGAATCATAATGGTTGGAAAAGACCTTCAAGATCAAGTCCAGCCATAAACCCTTCAACACCCTGCCTGCTAAACCATATCCCTAAACACCTCATCTACACATTTTTTGAACACTGCCAGGGATGGTGACTCCACCACTTCCCTGGGCAGCCTGTTCCAAGGCTTCACTGTTCCTTCCATGCAGAAATTCCTCCTAATATCTAACCTGAGCCTCCACCGGCGCAATCTCCCCTATCAGTGGTTGTTTTGAAGAAGAGATTGGCTCCCGCCTTCCTACAGCCTCCTTCAGCTGTAGAGAGCAATAAGTTCTCCATCAAACCCTTCTTGTAGATGGGTGTCACGTTGGCCAGGGTGTCACACTGGCCAGTCTCCGGTCATCTGAGGCTTCCTCTGTTGACCAGGACTGTTGATAGATGGTGGAGAGCAGCTTGGCGAGCACTTCCACCAGCTCCCTCAGACCCCTTGGGGTGGTTTTAAACCAAAAACTTTGGAATTTGGTATCCCTACCCCTCAAAAGTTTGCCCAGTGACTTCATTCTGAGCGCACAACAAATTCATATTCACTCATTCATAGTCAAATTCATATTCAAACTATTTGAATCGAAGGATATAATGAGAATGTTGAACTTCTCGGGCACAGGTAGCAAGAGATATAGAGAAAGTTTATTTAAGCCTGTAAAAAAATTCTTATGGTTTCTGTCACAGTGGATGCCACAATAAATGACCAGGCAAAATGATGCGCACGTTATTTACTTTAGGCAAGAAGACATGCCTGGAAACTGCTTAAAGCTCAGAAAATTGGATTCCTGCTGGGTTGCTCATTTTGTATAATCAGAACAGCCAAACCAATAAAAATAATCTAACTTTATCTTACTCTTTTCATGACAGTTTGTGAGACTAGACTAAAAGCAACATTTTACAATTGGAAAAATTGATTTAGTTTTAAAAAGCAGGTCTTGATTTTAAGTGCCAACAAACTACCTTAATTTTATTCAGGTGTAAGAAATATTGTATTATAAAATTACAGATTTATGTTTTATTACATGTTCCAAAACTATGCAGATCAGTAACTCTTATTTTAGTTTCCAAAGATGATTAAATTACACAACCAGGACAGTGGATTTTTTGTGTGATTTTTTGTTTTTAACCTGCTCGTTCTCTTTACCTGTAAGTTATAAGCATTGATTATTATTGAAGGTCCCATTAGCCTTTTGAGAAAGTGCTATTTCACCATGCATATCTTCCATGGAAAATGCATTTCTTTTTAGTACTCCGAGATGATCATCCTCTTAATCTGATGACATCCCAAATCACCACGTAGCTCTTGAAAGTGTCTCCATCTCTTGGCTCCCAATGCAGCATTTCAAATGTTACTGAATTTCCATTTGCAAGTCCCTTTTCTTGTGTAGAGGTGCAAAGTTACTTTTTCAGTCATTCATTTTACATTTTGATCCCTGCCTGCAGAATGGCTTTGCCTCAATAAAGTGCTCTAACACTTGAGCTTTGATTTTACTTTATAAAGACAACATGCAGGATCTTTGTTGGTAAAAAATTTTGTTTAGAATATTGGGAATATATTCCCCATAAGGGTTTGTCTCAAAGGCTTTACTCTTTCACTAATTTTAAACTTTATTCTGTTTTCTCTTCTAGGGCAACAGGCTTTGGCTTTCTGAATGCACTATGCAAAGCAGCAGCTGTACTTGGAAACTTAATATTCGGTTCTCTTGTTGGCATAACCAAAGCAATTCCTATTCTCCTTGCTTCCACCGTACTAGTGTGCGGAGGGCTGGTAGGACTGCGGCTTCCCGACACAAGAACCCAGGTGTTGATGTAACTGGAAAAAGCCATTTTATTCTTTATTTCCTTCTTTGTACAAATGTCAGCTCTCCAGCCTGGTGGTGCAAAGGCTTCAGATTCTCAACACTTAGCCAGGTGTTCAGATGGCAGAAATCAAACATCAAACAAGTTTCTGTGGAGTGGCAGAGATTTATAAAGCTCTACCTGGAAGTTTTAAATTTCTGTCTTTGTTTGTTTGCATACTCTGCTATTTAAAACAACTGCAAAGCTACCTCTTAAAACATTTTCAGAGACATGTCCAGGTAGTTAAAAACCATACCATAAGTAGATATTTAAAATTCAAGCAGTCTCATTATTTGAATATAAATACTGTATTTGACCGTGGTGTTGTGAGCTTTTCTAATGATGCAAACCTGCAAAACTATTCCTTAGCAGTACTGCTGCAGAAAAAGCTAATCTCAATGTGTCGATGCATGCAGCGTTATCAGCAAGCTGTGTTTGACTGCATCAGTGCTGAGTGGCTGTATTTCAGTGGTGGAAACTTCCTGCATTCTCAGAAAGAGGCATGGGCAGCAGCAGTGCCTCCTTCTTAGGAAACCATTTTACGTAGATTTGATCTAGAGTAAAGATTATTAACTGCACCTCGTACTTGCTGAGGAGAGGTTAATGATTGCCACAAGGAAGAACCAAGCTCATAAAGGTGCATGAGAAAGATAATATTAAAATAAGCACTTCCACTTTTGCCATTGGTCCTCCAGAAATGGTTTGTTTTCTACTCACTTGTGGGCATCTGCAATATTTTTGTCATTTTAGAACGGGGAATTTGTCTTTCTCCAGAAGGGAATCTATGAAAACCACTATTTATGTCATTGTAAGTATGAATAAAGGGAGAATCAGGCCAGTGAACTGGATGAAAAATAAGATGCTTTCGGATAAGTTCTTTTACTGTTTAACTTGATATTTTAATTCATATTTCATTGTCATAAATGGTTATAACAATAAGTTGTAATAGACTACCACCTACTTAGTATAGTTAGGAGAAAAACTTCAGTATATAGTATAATTTAATTAAATAATTAACTCTCAAAACAAATGTGGGTTTTTTTTGAAAACAGTAGCAAAACAAAGGAAGGCAATAATCAAAACTCCTTAATAATTATCCCACTTGATACACTCTGTCACATAATCATTTACTCATCTGATTTGTGATGGTTCTGCAGATATCCCACATTTAGCCCTTCCCTACAACCCTCACAAAAGCCATGAAGAAGAGACCATGCCAAGGCTGTGGGCAGCGCTCGTGCATATTTTGCTTCTAAGCCATATGATGTGGACGGTTCTGGACTATAGCAAATGATCTCCCTGCTAGTCCTACCTTCCTGTGAAGAACTATTGGATCACTTTAAAATGTGAGCATTAAAAAATAAATGAAAGATGCAGCCATAAAATGATGAGAAAGAAGAGGGAGATTGTCTGATGACAGAAGCTGTCACTGCTTTGAGTGCAGCTAAAAAATTTGTATCAGCTGATCAGCTGCAGGCTCAAGTTTCAAAGGGCACGTCTGATGTAAAACTTAAGGGAAGATTTATTGGTATTTCTTTCCAATTATGTCTGACAACTTTTTCCAGGTGGCTGAATCATTGCCAAATAAATTAGACTTGCAGATAAGATCATCACACAGTAACATATATTTTGCACGATTGCTTTTTCTGTCTCTTACATGATGATTCCTTACTATTGGGAAATAATATCTATCACTGTCTTCTGTGTGAGTCACAGTCTTACTAAAAGAGACAGAAAAAGATAGTCCACATAACAAGACCATTCATTACATCTAAAGTTCATTATTTTATTTACTGAACTTAAATTTCAGTTATGAACAAATGCCTATGCTAAATTGTACTATCAAAATATTAGCCAAGAATGTTTTTTACTATTAACAGATGAGAAAAGTAAACTAAGAAGCATGAATACTGAAAATTAGTGAGCAATTTTTATGTTGATAATTTAAATATTATATAGTAAGAAACAAAGTTTATTTTTTAAGTATACTGATTTTATGATATACAGTTCATGTTTTTGAGATAAGATATTCTATATTTAAATCTGATTTACTGCATGTAAAATGAAAAGAGAGGAGGCATTATTTTTCACGAGGATTCAACTTAAGAACAAAACGCCACACTTAATTTTGCATCTATGCCTGCTTATCCTAGTATTACTATCCTAATATTAATTTAATTAAATACTATTACCCGATGAGAATTATATTTCACTAGCTCTGCTTCTCTGTGCCAGCCATTAGTAGCATGTGTCCACCTCCTTGTACCTACTGCCCATCGTATTTTGAAATCTGAAGCCTCTGTACATGTTTGGAGGGAACATAAACACAACGGAAAGTTACCTGGTCTTGCTATGCACTGTCCACTACTGTCCACTTAAAGCAGTATATTCTGTCCATCTCTGTATGTGATACTGAAGAACAGCCAGATCCAATGCATCATGCTACGTGAGCGGTGTGGAGGGGATGGGGCGCAGGGAAAAAAAGGTTGAGTTTTTGCAGACTCCACTTTTAGTCTATAATCTTAAGACTGAAGACTTTAAGACTAAAACCTTGATGCCACATCCTAAGTAAATGATGAAGGCTGGATATAGTGAGGCTAGCAGCAAGAGAGCTTAGGCCTGGAATAGAGCAACAGCAGGGAGCAGGAAAGACAGACAAAATGCCCAAGAGCATGGACTGTGCATGGTCTAGGATTAGAGCAAATGCTCTAAGATAGGGAAGGAAGAAAGGAGAATAGGTAGAAAAAGAGAGAAAAGGTAAACAGAAGAAAATCTCTGCACATTGCCAAGTTATGAAAGAAAATCTAAGGCTAGAATTTCCCCTACCTGGTAAGCCAGTTGGCTCAACAGATTTGAGCTGGCAGGTGAGCCAGCTGTCTGGGCAGTCAAGTACCTTGGGCTTGAGTGCAGTAAAGGCATGTCCCATAAAGAGAAGATGAGTGAATAAAATTTCAGGCTATAAATAATATAAATAATTACAATCCACAAGCTGGGGCACAGATGCGTCATCTATGGAGGTCTGGGCCCAACTATTACTTAGCATAAGGCAAGAGTGATTGGCTGGTCTGTCGGGAGAATGTATCTTTTTCTTTTCCTCAGCTTCCAAAGCAACTCAGGTAATAAATGCTGGAGAACAGGAATTTCACTTCTTTTCTATCTCTGTTTATTTATATCTAAGACAAAGAGTCACTCGGTGGCTGTTTAGATTCCCAGTATACCTATGATATACAGGTCAAGAGAGAATGCCACATACTTCTGTATATGGCCACACAACTATGTTATATGCACACAAAGAAGTAAATTGGATTTGTCTTATCAGAGATGCCAAGCACATATAATCAGAACTCCCTTTTGTCTGTCATGTTGTCACTCAATTAACTGACTCATTCAACTGAGTGACAACCAGTTGGAAATTTCTTTCAGTCTAAATTGAAGAGGTCTCTAGTGCCCTTGTGCTGTAAAGCTCGTAGACTCACCACAGTGGCCCTTGAGGAACAAAAAGACTAACAGCATTTATTATAATATTAATCAAGCTAGTGAAATGTTTTAAAATTTGGAAACTGTCAGCAGAAAAGACCACTTTTTTTGCTAGAGAAACTTTATTTTCATTAGTTTTACTCATGACAGATAGCTGGCTAGTAGAGCTTGATTTAAACAACTCTTACCTTTTCAAAGCCTTTTATTCACTGCATTCATACTTTTTTAGCCAGGTTGGTCCTGTTCTTGGTAGTACCTGTCACCTGAAGCATGTGCTCCCACACTGGGCCTGTCTTGTGCTGATTGCTGAGAGGGGCCTGCTGGCAAGGGAATGAGCACTACGTGGCCATGGTTTGAGGAGTGCTGAACTGGATTGCTGAGGAATGACGCTTTGGGAAGCGTTGGGACGTTGGGAAGCGTTGGGACGTTGGGAAGCCTTCTTCCTCTGGCCTTGATTTCAGTCAGAGCTTCCAGAGCTGCCTAGTGCAGCACTTAGCCTCAAAAGGGAAAGGGTTAGTCCTCCTTCCTCATGGCTCCAGGAGCCTACTAGTTGCTTATTGCCTTGGAAAAGTGGAACAGCAAAGACTGCTAACTCAAGCTCCACTCTTTCCTTTCACGCTTAGTTTTCCGTTCATTTCTTCCCAAATTACTTTTCTCACCAAAGGTCCACTGTCAAAGCTGGTTACAATTCATTTTTCATGCTCTCAGCATAGCAACATTCAGTAACAAGGTTGTGCCACTTACCTTTTGAAACTGGGTCATCCTTTTTTTAAAGCAAGACAGAAAACAAACTCAGAACTCCCTCAGACAAGCTCACTTTTGTGCGGCAGCCAGAATTCCCATTTCCTTTCAGAGCCATAAGGCTGGACTAGTCCAAGGAGGAGCCTCCTGTCAGAACAACCCTTGTTTAGCTCCATCCATCACCACTGTGTGCTGACTGGAAATGTGGAGGAATCCTCTTGTCCAGCTCCATTTGGACGAAATGTTACTCTCTTTTCTTGCTCTCTTTTTCTACCATTCTGGAACCTCAGCTTCATGTAAGTGACCTGCTCTTGAGGCCCATCTCTCAGTTCTGTTTTCAGCAATTTAACAGGGCTGAAGTCTTCAGCCCCCCATACTGCCCTTCTGAGCTGGCCTTCAGTTCTCTTCCCCATCTTGAGATTTGAAATTCTCTTCATTAGTCAGAGAGATGTCTGCAGCACTTGACCCAAACAAGGTAATATCATGCCAATACAACCTGCGTGTCATGCTTTCTGTTTAATATTGACCTGGAAATGCAATTGAAATTTCAAGCACAAGGTTAAAAAGGAACACTTGCACTCAGGGAGTCAGCGACACAAGAAGTGAAAAGAATTGCTCCACTTCCTCCAGAGTCTTGAAAGAAAACACATGCTTGGTAATCCTATTCCAGAAGAAAACAAGTCTGAGAGACTGCCTTTCCTCTGCATTTCCTGCCTTCTATTCAATAAACTCACTGTAGGCACTTGCATGAATTCGTGTGCTCCAGTGCTGTTAGTTCAGGAAACACAGCGTGAACAGAGAAGGAGTTTTCTGTGCGGACTGGGGGCAAGACAGGGCTTGTGCAGTGAGCTAAAGGCAGCAGAGAAATGTGAGCCAGCAAGTCTGGAACTCGCATCAGAACTGGAATCAAATAGGAAGCACCAGCTCCTAATGGTGCTTGCAGATCATCCCTGCCCTCACCTACTCTAATGCGCTCTACAGCCAGCCCATACACTGACATAAACCTCTTGGTTTCTGTATCACAGTTCGGTTGTTTTCTTTGAAAATTGATAATTTCAACTAAATGATGCAAAATATTTGTGCATCTCTGTTACTTGCATTCTTTGTTTTTGTTGCAGTAGCCAATAACCTACGTCTTTCTGCAATAACAGAATATTTCAGTGTTTGATCCCACTCTAATTCTTCTCTTACTTCTAAGATTCTTGTACAGAACTTCATCCACACTTGGAACCTTTTTCTAAGGCATGTCAGGAGCAGGAAGAGGCAGAATGGATCAGACTGATTTTTCTTGTTTGGCCATGGGTCGGATTATCTTTAAAAATCCAGTCCTATAACGCATAGAATGTTTTATGGGCCACAGGGGATGTCCTGTCTAACTAAAAATGAATAAAATGATGGCAATTCTTGCCACTTGGTGGTCTCTTCCCCCTACACATACTCAAATTAGAAACAAAAAGTAGGAAAGTGCAGGTGTGATTGCTTTCTGGGACTGGAGTGCTGATAATTTCCTCTGCTTAAGGAGGGTGGAGGGAACATCCCTGCTCCTAACCAGCGCACAGACCAGCCGCCACAGAGAGCAAAGAAGTTACTTACTTGCAAAGGTCTCTGGATGAGGACGACTTGGCACAAAATAATATTGTCCCTGCCCACCTCTCCTCCCTAGCTGTTCATGGCTATATGTTGCAATGCCACAGAGTTGAGAGGGTCTGTGGGAGTGCTGGAAATTCCAGCAGTCTTGCCCACTGCATTGTCCTTCAGCACCTTCAGGAGCGCCACACTGTTGGCAAACTCCTTTCCTGTCCCCAAATAACCTTCCAGGCTCTTTTCTCTTGGGTCCTAAGCATCTCCTTTTTTGTTCCCCTCTTGCTTTCTGATTTTGGACATCTACCATGTGCCAGTCACTTTCTCACAGTAGTCCCGACCAGACAAGTTGAAGCAACTTGCTCCTGATGGGCAATGCTCGTTACTCATTGCGAGTGCAGTACTCTTGAGTCCAGTGTCTTAAATGTTGTTTCAGTTCCATCTGATGCCTACAGCTAGAGCAGTCACCCAGCTATTCTGAAAACACCTATTTCCTAATGTGTGACGCATGCTTTCTCTACTCTTGGTGTCTGCCTTGTTTGTATAGGCCTGTCCCTGCTGGCCATGTGATAGAAGTTATTTATTTGTGATCCTCATGTAGACCTATCTTGCCAAATTAAAAGGTGGGTCTTCAAAGAAGAGTGAGAGAAAAAAATATAAAATGGAATCAAATTAAATATTAGCCGTAAATGGGAAGACTTCATGGCCAATAATTCAATTATTATTATTATTTTGGCAATCAATTTATTTAAATCATAGCCTGCAGCTACATAGTATGTTACATTTTGCAGAAGAGATAATACACAGTTGCAAGTCTATATATTGATGAACATGTAGATGTGGGTGAATAAATATAAATACATATATATATATGTATACACACACACGCAAACACACATATGCTATACCAGTGTATTTAACACAGGTGGGTTAAGGTGTAAGGTGACTTACAAAGCGTACATCTTAAATATCTATCTCAATCATGATGTCACTAAACGTTACTTTCTGCATTATACTCTGAATGCAGATCTCATCCCGCCCATTTCTTTTTACAAAATTCTTTCCTTTTTTCATGCACAAAGTTGTTGTGATGCCAAGTTTCATCTTAGCTGGCCATTCCCTTTGTATCTTTGGAAGAGAACTCCAGTTCCCAGCCCCGCGGTGCCGAGCAGCATTAGCAGCTCTCCATACGGAGACGCTGGTCCTGGGCCAGGGCTGCAGAAAGGCTTTGACACAGCGCACTCAGCCATCCAAAACCCCATCCTTTTTTCCCTTTAATGCAGACAAAAGCCCTTCAAGACATTCCACGTGGATCGCAACATGTTAACTTCCCTGTAATGTATGGGAAACTGTCTGTGTCTGCTTTCTGTACTGTATATTTCCCGTTGATTCTGCATACATAGCTGCTGTCAGTCTAGTAATGTGGTTATACCATTGTTTACTGCTGCTCTTATCAGCAATCTTTGACCAGCCTGAAGCAGAGCCATTGCCAAGGTGTCTTTCACTTACTTAATGATTAACATCCACAAAGGCCTACTACAGTAATTAGTACTGTATGAAGTAATTCCTGCTATAATTCAAGTAAATCCAGGCTTGAAATAGCAGCACATGCACACACACACACTCACACGTAGCAGGGAAAGGAGAGAGGGTCCTCTTTCTCAAAGAATTAACAAAATACGTTTGCTCTGGGAAACCTAATATATAGTAAGTCTGAAACAGCAATAAAAGCAATCCAAGCAGCTAACAACTGCTTTTTGTGTTCTGCTTTTGGTCTTCTCAGGAGGCAAATGTACGCTCTCTACGTGCTGGCGTAGCATGCAGTGTC